CTTTTTTTAGTCTGGGGTACCATTTTAAAGCAGTTTTACCTTATCCCTTACTACTGCAGGCCTCCTCCTCCCCATGGGACCGCTCACCATTTCTCTCCATCGGTTGCTGGTACTCAATGTCATTGTGAACAATTCAGACCCAGCAATTCTGCATTGTATGTCAGGGCACCAGGGAACCGTCCACATCCCAGTTAACCAGAGACAAGGGGAGAGCTCCAGCTCCCAGGGGAGTGTGAGATAAGGTAAGTAAAACTGTGTTTATTGTTCCCCTAGACAAAAACAAGCATTTCATTCTTGCAGTGTGTTTGGGGGACAGTTTTGGCATTTCTCAGCAGTTCAGCTTCAAAAAATTAAAAAATAAAAAGATTTTATTTCTTGCTAACATGTTATTGGAAAACAGCGCCCCCCCCCCCCCCCCCCCCCCCAGCTCCACAGTGAGGTATGGCACCTCCAGAACAACTACTGCTTCATAACACGTCAGGCTGGAATCTGTGAGTGTTAGTACAAAACTGTAAGCAGGGATAAACTTCCATCAATACAAAAATAGATTTTACTTCGCTGATACAATAGAATTTTTCAACCCTTTCTATAATTTGTTTTTTTTTCTAAACTTTTTTTTTTACTTTTGTAATACACAAACATTTTTTTTTTTTTTTTTTTTTTTTAAACATTATATCACAAGAACAACACAAGGATACCTCTTGGTGCTGGTGAGTTTCACCTATATCCCCTCACACTGTAAATATCCTGCGGCACCTCAAAACAGGTGCTCGAACAAACAGATCGGGCGTTCCTTCCCTGCTTTTTGTGGTTGTTGGAAAGACAACCATTCTTTTTACAACTCATTATAATACAAATGTACTTCTTATAGAGCTCAACAGATTGACTATGTGAATATTTAGAAGTGCTACATTTTGTCTATTTTTACACTAAGGCGCCTCTACGGATTTCGGCGTCCTGAAACAGGCAATGTCCTGATTCTGATTATTCATCAACAAATGCCGGCTCAAGAGATAAGTGTACAGTTTCATATTAGTAAATGGCCATTACGGAATTGGCTGCTTCATTTTCACATCCTGTAAAATGTAATGTGTTATATTTTCTATGTCATTTTTCTGGGAGGACTGCATTGAGAAGATTTGCAATCCAATTAATAAAATAAGAACGAAACGTAATAAAATAAAATGTGTGACACAATATTATTAAAAAAATTCATCAAAAAGATTATTTGGCTGAGGCCCAGGTACAGTCTATGAATCAGGTTCCTTTAATGACTTAACTAGAGTGTATTATGGAACATAGATGTACTGCTGGAGGAAGTGGAGAGACAATAAAATTATTGAAAAAGTGACAAGAAAATGCAGTTTGGCGGCTTAGTGAAAGAGTCGAGTCACTTTCATGTCCATTCTGAGAGTGATTTATGGAATCATTTGTGGTATGTGTACAAGATAAGGTAGGTGCCCTTGTGGAAGCAACTGCCTTGGTCAAAAATCTGCCTTATGAAAATGGAAAGTAAGAATGCTGACAATAGCGCCAATAGTTCAAAAACTAATTTAATGATTCTCTGTCCTAGCCCCAAATGTATCTTTTCTTTTACCAATGCAATGCAAGGAACGAGTTAAAGGATAAATTTATTTTAGCTAGGGGAATGTACATACACAGCCTCTGGGGTGAAGTACACATTACAAAACAGAACAAGGTCAGCCCTGCAAACTAGCGGTCATTGTCCCTGTAGAGATTAAGGCATTCTTTAAAACTCACATGTGCCATGACTGCTCTGTTAATGGAACTGATTCTATAATTTAATGATTTAGAACAGATTTTTTTTTTTTGGGGGGGGGGACAGGGACGGGGGGACTTCCTGTTTAACAGATATACGAGTAAGGCACTCGGAGAGTAAATATTCAGCTACAGTTACAAAATGTGATTCATAATTCAATAAAAAATTCTTTAATCTTAAAGGGGGCATGTCACTGCTGGAAAATGCCACTCTCTAAAATCTGAGCAATTCCCATCCAGCTATGCCTAGAAAAATACTGTCATAACTTCCAGGGGTAGAGCAATGACAGATCCAGCAGTGGCTCCTGCTATGACAGGCAGTAGCTGGTGTGACAGGTTACCTTTAAATCTGGTGTAATGGGAAAGGGGGTATATAACTGAGTAATGCCACAATGTGCCCTGGTCCCTGCTCCATCCCATGACCAAACAAGACCCAGTGAATAATACTAGTGCTGAGAGACTTTTTCATCTTTAAGGCACTGTTATACAAGAGGAAATATACTGAGGTTTACAGCTCATAATATAAAGGGTGATGCTATGTGGGAAAAGAAAAAACAGCAAAGATGGGCTTGCAAACAACATTTTGCTCAAGTAATGTTTCTTAAAGTTTCATTTGTTTATTAGAACTGACCACGATTGTCAGGGAAGAGGATGGGGGCTGTAGACACTTTCCTACACTCAGCTATCTTCCATTCCAGAAAAATAACTGGAGCAATCTGCGGCCTCTGCTGAGCCTCCTACAATCTTAAAATAGCTAATTAATGTGTTTTTTATGTTTTGTCTTTTTAAATATCTCATGCTTTTCAAACATTTTAAAAAGCACTCATGCATATTGTCATTTTGAAACTGTTCATCTCCCTTACAATCTGTACACACAGATCTAATGGCTACTCTGGCTGCAATTGTCTTTTTCTCCAATAAAGATGAGCTGAAGCTTATTGAATCTTAGTTCACCTTCATCTATCAGCTGTATCTCATCAAGTAAAATTGCTTTAATGTACTTCTAGTTGAACACAACCAGATGTATCGAATTATACCAATAGCTGATTCATAAAGGAAACATGCAAATGCGTAAAATTTAACGCTTTAGGATATCCTGTGCTGCTCCATTCCAGCAGAGGTAAGGAACGCCCGGTCTGGATGGTGTCTTCCACAATCTGCTCAACAACCACTAGTTTAGAAATCACAAAAGAGGTATCGTAACGGTATCAATAGCGCTTGACCAGTTGCAGGCAAGAAAAGGAAAGAAGGGAGAGGGGCAATGCTTCACAGAAGCGTGCTTCAGCATTGGCTCAGGTTCCGAGTAACTCGCTCCCACGCAGAACGGAGAGAGCGCCAACAAAAGAAAAAGACAAGTTTCTTTGGAAAATATACATATACCATTTTTGCTTTAAAAGAAAGGAATAAAAGAGAAGGCCAGTTAGTTCAAATAAAGCAATGTTTGCACTGACTTACCCTGTAAAATAAAAAAATAAAAAAATCTAGGATCAGTTTCTGGAGGTTCTTTGTGATTCTGTCAACTTTTTTAAGCCCAAAAGCTCTCAGGCTATTGCCACTACATGGATTCTTCTTCTTAACTGAAACACCATTGCCTTCCCATGAGACTCTCTAAACCAGATCGGCAATTTGGCACTCTTGTTGAGTCTCTTCTTCAGCAATGGCCAAACCATTTAAACAAGCTGAAGATTCGGAGTACCAAAATGTATGCTGTAAAAGCTACACCATTTTTTTTTCAAAAGCCCAAACATTGAATAAAATTCTGAGGAACCTCTTACGAGAATGTTACGAGAATGTTTTTAAAATTGATCTGATCCTATGAAAAAGAAAGGTTATGCTTAACAGCTATTGGAGATCTTCTTCAGCTCAAATGGGTGACAGATGCTAAGAAGGCCTCAAGATGACAATGTTGTTGGCCATATAGTCACCTGCAAGCTTTTAACATCAAGCACTTCTCAAACCTAGATCTCACATTCCGGTGTACTATTTAGCAGTTACAAAAAAAAAAAAAGTTAACAGTTTCATATTTTGATGATTTATCCTTACCAACAACAAGAAATCGGAACCTCTACAATAAGTAATTTTGGTTGATATGAATCTCTAGAAAAACTCCGCTGCATTTTTTTTTTTTAGAAACAATTGTAATTCTGTACTGTACATTTTTATGTTTTTTAAGAACAATTTTAAAATCACCAGGATTTTCTGCCTCTGTGGCTCCTTATGCTGCTAGAGAAGTTAAGTGAAGCGTTCTCTTGATGTGAAGGATTGCAATACAGGTTTACAAAACAAAAATGGACAAGATCCCTGAAATCTACCCAAGGAGCCCAAAGTGGCTCACCTGTTGTATAATTTTTTTTTTAAGAGGCAGTAAATGCAAACTGGTGGTTTCCTACAATTTCTTGAATACATCAAAACAAAATAATTCTGTAGTGCCTTGATCCATAGAGCCTTAAAACAAGCTAATGGTTCACCACCCAGATGGTTCTGGAAATCGAGCTGTGGAGTTAGCTTTGCTCTTTCCACAGGGAGAAAACGTCTGTTTTTAATTGCTAAACCCCTCAACATAAAAGCATGTGAGGGGACAGCAAGCTCAACTGAGTTCTTTTTGAGATGTTTGTTCTTTGAGAATTAAGGCCTAACGTGGAATAAGGGCTAGTACAACCCCTTGTAATTGTCTGCCTGTGGAAACCGATGTCAATCGCCATATGGACCTTCTCAAAGTTTGTTCAGAAGATCAGCAAAAACTTCTCCACACCATGACAAACCAGTTCTCGTGTGGGAACACACAGATTAGAAAACTCTTCCATTGTCTTTTCAACATAATATATTTTGAAAAAGAAGAAAAAAAATACATTCACCCTCCAAGGATCTGTGCGGATTTTTTTTATGTTTCAGATGGTGGTCGGTTGGGGGGCCACCAAAGCCAAACAACAACAGCAACTTAATTAAGCTTCAGCAGCGACAACCAAGCCATGTCTTCAAAGGAGACAAAAAAAAAAAAAAAAAAAAAAAAAAAAAAAGGATGAGCCCAGCTTATCCGCATCCCAGACGTCCGTCACTGATTGCTGTTGTGCTCTGAGAACACAGTTATAGCTCTGTGGATGGACTAAAGGCGCACATGTGACACTGCATGAGGGCTCCTGGACGTTTTCTGTAAGTGTCTCTGAGGGCATCACAAGATGCGTCCATCGCCCTCGGCACAGGGACAACCAAACCCCCTACTCTTAAGTCATTTGATGAGGAGCTTCCAGCATCTCCATTAAGAAGGTGTCGATTGGTGTGTCTCCTATTAGCTTGAAGAAAAAGAGATGTTCCAGACATTTCAGGCCAATGGAACGGAGGGCAGGTAGACGCAACAGCAGCTTTGCAAACCTGGCAGTGGAAAAGGCAAAAAACAAAGCGTCAGTAAGAAAAAAAAAAAAGTAAAAAGTAAAAACCAGCCCTGTCTAGGAAGTTCTGTGGGGCCCTCATGCTGGTATAATTGAGGACAGAAAACCAGACAAAATGGAGTGACAAACACCAAACAATTCAATGAATAACTTGTTTTTTAGACAAGTTTCCTAACACAATTATACCAGCACATTGGGCATATGAATGAGAGTCCCATTCAAAGGGGAAGCACAGTATTCCTTATATTCCTGCCCCTGAGGGACTATGAACTGGAACAATTTCTCACAAATCTCCTGCCACTGATCAAGCAGTCATCTTGCAAAAGACTGATACTTGACTGGACATAATATTCTCATGAGGCACAATAAGATGACGTATCAAGGTTCATATTCACTATAATAGAAGAATGATTGATCACAACATCTTCTAATAGAAACAACAGGATAAGTTTGTGTAGCAGCCTTATAACCTACCAGCTAACAGACAACTGATTAGGGTGACTTTGCCATCACAGTAGTGCTGTAATAAATCAAGCATTCATTTATCCCTTATAAAGTTCAAAAACTTAAAAGAGAGCGGGCCCTGGAAGGCTTTTCAACAATAAGTACCCAAGCTGGATCTCCATGCTACTAGCTTAACACACACACACATGTATATGTATATATATATATATACAGTGGCAAGAAAAAGTATGTGAACCCCTTGGGATTAAGTGGAGTTTTGCACAAATTGGGCATAAAATGTACTCTGCACGTCATCTAAGTCACAACAATAGAAGAACACAGTCTGCTGAACATAATACTACACAAACATTATCTGTTGCCATGGTTTAATTGCACATAACATGTAAACATTCACAGTGCAGGGAGGAAAAAGTATATGAGGCCCTAGCTTAATGACTTCTCCCAGAGCTAATTGGAGCCAGGAGTGAGCCAACCTTGACTCCAATCAGTGTGATGATATTGGATGTGTTGCTGACAGCTGTCCTGCCCTTAAAACACACACACACTGTTTTGGGTTTAGTGGTTTCAAGAAGCACTGTCTGATGTGAGCCATGCCTCGCAGAAAAGAGCTCTCAGAAGACCTACGATCAAGAATTGTTGACTTGCATGAAGCTGGAAAGGGTTACAAAAGTATCTCCAAAAGCCTTGATGTTCATGTGTCCACGGTAAGACAGACTGTCTACAAATGGAGAAAGTTTAGCACTGTTGCTACTCTCCCTAGGCATGGTCGTTCTGTAAAAATGACTGCAAGAGCACAGCGCAGAATGCTGCATGAGGTAAAGAAGAATCCCAGAGTGTCAGCTAAAGACCTACAAAAATCTCTGGCACATGCTAACATTTTTGTTGACACATCTACAATAAGGAAAACATTAAACAAGAATGGAGTACATGGGAGGACACCACGGAGGAAGCCATTGCTGTCCAAAAAGAACATTGCAGCACGTTTGAAGTTTGCAAAAGAGCACCTGGATGTTCCACAGCACTACTGGCAAAATATACTGTGGACAGATGAAACCAAGATTGACTTGTTTGGGAAGAACACACAACACTATGTGTGGAGAAAAAAAGGCACAGCACACCAACATCAAAACCTCATCCTCACTGTAAAACATGGCGGAGGGAGCATCATGGTTTGGGGCTGCTTTGCTGCCTCAGGGCCTGGACGGATTGTTGTCATTGATGGGAAAATGAATTCCAGAGTTTATCAAGACATTTTGCAGGAAAACGTACGACCATCTGTCGACCAACTGAAGCTCCACAGAGGATGGGTGATGCAACAGGACAGTGACCCAAAGCATACAAGTAATTCAACAAAACAATGGCTGCAACAGCACAGAATACGCCTTCTGGAGTGGCCCAGTCAGAGTCCTGACCTCAACCCGATTGAAATGCTGTGGCATGACCTTAAGAGAGCGATTCACACCAGACATCCCAAGAATATTGCTACACTGAAACAGTTTTGTGAAGAGGAGTGGTCCAAAATTACTCCAGATCGTTGTGCAGGTCTGATCTGCAACTACAGGAAACGTTTGGTTGAGGTTATTGCTGCCAAAGGAGGGTCAACCAGTTAAGTCCAAAGGTTCACATACTTTTTCCTCCCTGCACTGTGAATGTTTACATGTTATGTGCAATTAAACCATGGCAGCATCTAATGTTTGTGTAGTATTATGTTCAGCAGACTGTGTTCTTCTATTGTTGTGACTTAGATGACGTTCAGAGAACATTTTATGCCCAATTCATGCAAAACCCCACATAATCCCAAGGGGTTCACATACTTTTTCTTGCAACTGTACATACACATATACATACATACATACACACACATATACATACACACACATATTAACACATCATGTTTTGTTGTTGGTAATGCCGATTTGTGATTGTATATATACACATCATGTTTTCTTATTGGTAATGCCGATTTGTGATTGTGCTTTGCCATTCCTCTTACCTAAGGCAAGGCCCTGTACTGATTTCTATCAAGAGACTTTACAGTGAGAACTACATTCTTCAGATGTATAATGCTGCTATTGATTTAGATGGATTGTTTTAAAAATTTTGAACTTATTCTATGGTAGTAATATAGTAAATGAGGTTGAAAAAAGACCAAAGTCTATCAAGAAGACAGGCCCTCTTTAGTGTCCACCTGAATGTGAAATCTCCTGCTGGATACAGGACAGATTGTCAGTCATTCAGCCTTCCTAATAAACTCAAAGTCCAACGCACAGACTACGAAAATTCTCATTAATCGTTAACTGTGTCTCAAGGGACAGCCGACTTGGTTCTTCCCGTCATCACGCAATCAACGTGGTTAGAAAGAGGGAAAAAAAATAAATCTGATCCATTTTCAGATTGGAGGGAGGCCAAGGAAAGGGGCGAATTCTGCTGAGCTATTGAGAACGGGAGTTGGAGCGCCAGGAAAAACAGGGTTTTCTGAATGCCGGCCAGGAAGTGCAAACTTTAAAATTTTAAACTAAAACATATGAGAGGCGGGGGAGGGGAGCCTGACTCCTTCGCTGCTGTGGCCTCATTTTTCAGCTGGAGTTCCCATAGAGGACACAGGGTGAAACAGAGGAGAATGGAAAGCCTTAAAGGTGACTGATGAATTTTGAGGACTTTATCAAATATGCTGTCCCCAATAAAAGCAAGCAAAGTAATGACTGTCGGCTGCTCACTGATGATGTCAATACAGCTCCCTCGAGTTTGTTTTCTGTAACCAAATCCTCTATGCCTCTGTCCTGCACAACTGTCCCTCTTTGTTACTAAATATATTGTGTGGGGCCATTACTGGCCTATTTCTGAAAATACTGTTTGCCTGGCTCTCTCTGGTTTCATTAGTTTCTGAGTCACTACTACAAAAAAAAAAAAAAAAAAAAAAAAAAAAGCATGTAGGTTGGAAGGTTAACACTACTGATATTCATAATTTAAAAAAAAAAAAAATGAAGACACTAAAGCACCATAGCAGCCAGGCATTTTGTAATCTCAGAAGATAATGCCAGCAATGGCAGCCTCTGATCTGAAAAGCATCAGCTTCAGTAAGAATTTACAAAGGATTTAGGAAGGTTCAGGTAGTTTTTCTAAATCCACAAAGGGGCCCTTCAGCTCCAGTACAGGAGTACCCAGTAGAGATCAAAGTGGAATTGTTGGTATTCCTATCTGCAGTGGTGCGGTGGTGGAAAAGAGCACTGTTTTTGAAGTTTAATGTAATTATAGAATATCACGCTTTGGACTTTGTGAATGGAAAATTGGACATTTTTCCACTATAATCACATCGCAATTGACACGGTTCTTTGTATATGTAGTATATATAATAAGGAAAAAATGTATTTTGTCTGTTATATATTATTGACGTGTACAGTTTATTCAGCAGCTTTGATAGCGCTGCACTATATATATTTCTATCATTTTTTGTTGTGTTTTTGTGATATCACAGGAGTCATAGCAGCTGTCTTTGTATTAGGTGATAGGCTTTATTACATTTTTGTAGGGCAAGGGTAATTTTATATGAAAATATAAACAAATGTCTATGTTTTAAACTGCAAGTTTGATTACTGGCATCTGAAAAATCCTGTTGCATCCTTTTTGTCCTAATAACTATTTGGGATCTGGTGCCTGCAAAATTTTCCTCCAGTCTCCATTATCCAATTGTATTTTTTATTTATATTTTGTGTTCACTAGTGATGAAAGGATTACAATAGTGAGGGTCTTTTGCTGAGCACATTTGGACAGAAAAAGGGTCCTTCTACCCATAATTGGGAGATGCCATACATAGAAACAACCCTACCCCTTTCATTTTAATCATGAGGAGAGGTGATTCAGGGTACAGCATGGGAAGAATGGCGGAAGACCCACCTTCCTGGCTGTTCGGGGTATTTATGTTTGCAGTAAGCCTCCAAAGATGCATAGACCTTTTCCCGCAGCGCCTCCACCTCCGATGGGTTTGAGAGACCTTTAGAATCTGTGAAAAACAAATGCAAATGTAACCATGCAGATCTATATCTGTCGCTTATGTAGAAGCTTTATTTTTATTACAAATTGACACAATATTTCACGTTACAAGCCATATGTTTCTATAACAGCCAAAAGATAGAAACTTTTCCAAAGCAACAGTATTTCCCCTTTAGATGAGACTTCCCAGAAACAGAGATCCCCTATAGGCAAAGAGTTTTTATTTATATATTTATTTTCTGGTAATGGCATTGGGGAAATGTTATAGTTCCTAGGTTCTATATATAGAAAGTAGTGGAGTTCTCCTTTATTCTAGCAAAACAACTTTTTTCTTCTTCTTTCTAAATGTAAACATGCTCAATCGTCTACAAGCACAAGCCCTTATTTTCCACCATTTTCTTATATAATGCTTGCCTTTTTTGCTTAAAAAAAAAAAAAAATAAAACAACTTTCAGAAAATGATTCAATCCATTAGCATCTTTGTATAACTGAAGCATCAGTTTTGGGGGGGATTTAGCCGGGGAAAGTAAGATCACCAGGAAGCATGTTATTTTTGAGCAGCTGTGAACATGCAACTCTGAAAGGCAAATGTTACAAGTTGAGCAGAGCAAAACTTACCTTTCAGACATCAACGGTCCCACTCCCTCACCAGGATCTTCTCCTGGGTGCTAGTTTTCGGTCATCTTCATGCACTGGCTCGGGATCAAGTCACCCCTGTGCATGTGCAGGAGGTTGATGACAAGGCACACAGGGACTGTGCTGGCGATGTAAGCTGAGCTGCACATGTACAGCTCAGTCTGTATCACTGGAATAGACAGCAAGCAGCCAGGAAGATGTATTTTATTGCAGAAGAGACACTGCTGTCTCTTCTGTAAAAAGAAGCCTGTCTGCTTGCTGTTTTTGACAGCAGAACTTTATTTGTGTTTTAAGATCAACAATAATCTAAGACCAGCATACAGCCACCACTCACTCACCTGGGTTGAAGAGGACAATTGCTCGGAGGCAGCCCAGCTCTGTCTTGTCCATCTGCATGTCTCGCATTTTGGACACTAGTTCTGTCAGAACACTGAACCAAATGAAAAAAAATATTTTGAAATGTTTTGTTACAGCCCAGGCGTACAGTTATGACTTGTAAATTCATATTACCATCAAGAGTGAATAACAAATAAACAAGACCCATGGAGGAAACAGAATAATATTTATCTGGCCTTTCTAAACAGCAGAACATTATTGTTTGCCTCAACGAGCTCTAAAAGAAGCAGACTCAGAATGAACTGACTGGATGCAATCTGGTTCTCAGCATTCTCTCTTTTTTTTTTTTTTTTCCAGGATGGTGTTGGAGTGTTGACTACTGCTGACAGGATGTGAGCTGTGACTGACAGACATGAAAAGTTGTGTTACAACAGACATGAATCAGTGAAGTTTTATCTCAACCCCAAATTTTAGTCACAGGAACCCAATGAGAGTATTTTTCTATCTATACAATGCCATTTAAAATGATCATTATTATCAGTATAACCTGCTGTATCCTGCTATGGTATCAATAAACAGAACTTGCACATATGTTTCAGAAGGTTGCTCTCATCTGCATACACTTCATCCTTTAATCCAAGCAATCAATACAGCTGACATTGAAAAATGGAACATTAACATCCTACCGATCAAAGATGGCTCCTACACCCGCACTGTGCGCACTGTTCCGGTGCACATGAAGACCAGTGGCAAGGAGGATCCCGTCTTTAACAGCTATTGACCGATGTGAGAAGGAGGCAATAAGAAGTTCATTCCAACCTGCATGAAGAGGACAATTAGACAATTTAGGTTTGACACATCACTCATTCTATCCATTAGGAAAACTATTTTTGTATATTTTTATGTTTATTTCATTGGTTTGTCCATTTCTTTCTTGTTAGAATCCTAGATGTGTTTCAATACCAACTTTACGCATTATCTCATTCTACTGTATGTTCTCCTGTTATGTCCTTACTTGTCGGTCTCTTTGTTAAAAATTTTTTTTTTTAAATGTACAAAATAAGAAAGAGCCTCCTGAGTATACAAACATTTAGGGTAAGTTAGCCCACCCTATATGCTTAACATTGGTTTATGCAGCATTGGTGTCCTTGGTTGAATTCCTGGTAAGGACAGAAAAAAAGGTTTATATGTTTTCAATGTAATTTCAGGGAGTGTACTTTTTAAGTGTTTTTATTGCATCGTTTACTTTAAAGAGATATTTAATGTGACATTCACATTTATACCAAGTATGCTCTGATTTACTATTTTAATTGTATTAAATACAGTTACTCGACTGGCCACTAGAGGGAGCTCTTACCGCAGCTGCACTGTCTCTCTCTTGCAGGAAGCGCTCTTTCAGACACACTGCTGTTCTTAACGCTTTCTGAAAAGCAATCTGCAGTAGATCGCTTTTCAGAGGACAGTACAGCAGTTGCTGACAGCTGGTACTACAAACTCTTGATGCCTGTTTTTTAAAAATATTTTTTAACTTTGATTTTGAAATTGCCTAAGGGCTTGTTCACACATTGTTTTGGTCTCTCAATCATTATCTGCATTTGAATCACTCTTTGGAGAGCATTTGAGAGGACTTTAAGAGGTGTTGTGTGCCACAACTGCATGCACTGCATGTGGTTGCAGGATGGTTGCAGAGCGGTCCCATTCACTTGAAGTAATAGGAGTATAATTCCTGGGGGGATGGTAAAGGCACATCTCAACTGTGGGGTTTAACCCCCTTAAACTGGTAGTGTGAATGGACCCAATGGCAATTTTACACTGTGGGACCATGCTGCAACTGCGAGCCAAGCGTTCCATTCACTGTCGCGGTGCAGCCCCATTAAACTCAATGGACGAGACTGACAAGCATTACCACATGTCAAACTGCATCCAGAATTTAAAATATGTTTAAGGCTCTTTCAAATAGCCAGGGAGCAGTAAACACAAGTGGCTGAGCCCCTGAACTTTCGCAATACAGCTGGACAGGGCTGTACAAATGCGGCAGCCACAATGTTTTGCTTTGAGGCTGCAGCATTTTAAACTCAGTGTGCAGAGGTTGACAATCACACCGCTTCTCAAATTCGCCCACCAAGTTCAAAGAGGCCACACGCAATTGCAGCATGATAGTGTGCTATTACTGGGTTAAAGCAAGCAGTAAGGAAGCGATAGGTCAAGTGTCCTATGAAAAGCACTCAAATGTGGTCTCTCTTCAGAGGGCACCACAAATGTGAAAGAGCCCTTCAGTGGGTCGTCTGACTCATTAACTTGCATTGTGAGAGTTAGAAGTAAAACATAAGGTAAAGCAGGACACTAAGCCTGTGTATGTAATGAACAAAGATGGTTTCCCCCACACACACACACATATAATTATAATTGAAAACATGTTTTTTAAAAACAACAATATGCTATTGAAATTATTTACATCAACCTGATCTACCATGTTATCTAAATCACATTGAAAAGACTGAATATCCAGCTTGAGTCCCCACAGAATCCTTATACTGCTGAGAGAGGACCTGTCACTTTTTATCTTTTGATTACCAGCTGAAGCATCATGCCATTTTCACATTTCACTAAGCCAGCAAATACCTGCGCACTTCTTTATTGACAGGTAGCTCTCGGGAGACTTGCAGCTGCCCACACTTTTGTAACAGAATAAACTATTTAAATGTAGAGCCATTTTCTCACATCTTCGGCTCACACCAAGGCAGCTATAAATAACTTACAACTCCGCTAAAAGACCATCGACATACAAGGCAGCATAAAGTGTTACAGTCATTCTGGAAGACACAAAATAGAGGCTGTTGTGTTTGATTTTATGCTTTTAGGATGCCATAAAAAGGAAGGAAGAGACTGGCCGCCCTATCGGCATTTGCTCTGCCCTTAAGCTGTGTTTCATCTCTTGTTAGACGATGCATGAGTGGAGGCAGCCTCTGTGCTTAGCTAGATGTTGGCCTGTTAATGTTTCATGTGCGCTCCATCCCCAGAGCCCGTTCCTGCCGCTCAATAATACATGAAGTCGCTAGTTAAAATACTTTGGGGAAGTTATTTAAAGCACGGGCCAGAGCTGTGCAGGACTCGGATCCAGGCTCACTGCCGATCTTCAGAAACGACTGTGGTCAAATGTCTTAAAGGGACCAGTCACCCACAACAGGCACCATTTTTTTCTACCCTTCTGGAACAAAAACTCTGATTTAGCTCACTAATTCCAGCCCTTGGAGTCATACTGATCCTACTGCATTCATTACAATGTGAACTCCATGAAAGGTTATATTGTAATTTAAGCTGTTTAAATGCATGCCAGATTGATGAAGTTTGGAAAATCGCAGGGGTCTCAATGCTAAAGTTTCTGACAAACCCAGCTCATCAGCATTTTCCAAAAATGTAAACGTCCATTTTAGATGGTCTGACCCTTTAATTCCTTAAAAGAAGTCCTTTCAATTATTTAAAGAGGTCCTAAACTGGAAAGACTGTCATTTAGAAAAGGAGAATTCCCAAAATCCAAAAACAGTGCCAAGGACTCTTTTAGACTCCCTTCTCTACACTATGTTCAGTATTCTGCAGCTTTTAAATTACTGCTGTACATTCAGGCATGTAGCCGACATAAGGAACATCATTTACACAGCAGAAATAATGCAGATGCACTAAAACAACAGTTACCCGAACCTGGCAAATTTGCACACATGGAAACTGTTTTATATGCTGAAAGGTTTGTAATTTTGTCTAACATGTCCTCAGATTTACACAGCCCTGCCAGACAGGTCAATAACCTCACTTTTCTCTGCTGCAGAGATGTATTACATCTTGGTCACCTCCCAGCTTGTGACTAGAAAAGAAAGGGCAACAGCAAACTGATGAAGCCAACTTTGTCCATCTGTCAGCCAGTTCCTTGCCATTACATGTGCATGTAGCAAAGACTAATTCTCCCTAGTGGTCCTCCAGTCTGAGTGATACTGTGCAGGGGATTAGAGGATCATCAATAAGGCCAAGTTCACACTGTGACTTTATGTGCCCTGCTGCACTGCTATCTGTTTTACTAGGCACCTCAAGGCAATAAGGCAGCACACTGCAATGCACAATAACACGTGACATAACAAGTGTTAATGCACTTCACAAACGTGAACCCAGCCTTAAAGATTTCTGTGACAAATGCTACATATTTCGTGAACACTTTTTTCTAACCAATACCCCACCCGAGAAGCATTAATAATGTCACAGATTTCAATAACTTTGAACTGACAGAAGTGAATAATGTCATGACCAGCATAAAAACGTTAGACGATTCATTTTGTCCCCTATCTTTTCACTAGTGATATTGATGACGGGAAGCAATGAGGTCAGTTCAAGTAAACAAGGTTCCTGCTTGCAGAAAAAGACTATTGGTGCCATGCTGTTAGGAAGCAAAGGACAATGTGCACTCACCTGCTCTCAGCAGTATTACTTGGTCATCCAGCGGCAGCTCTGAAAAATGGGGGATTCTCTTTGCCCATTCCACCAAGGTGAACAGCTGCTTGTCTGCGGCTTGGCAAATGTTGGTGACGGGGTCACTAGGCTGTAGGAAGTGAATATTGGTGGACATTATCAGTTGACAAATCTGGTATTTTTTTCCTCAGCACTGCATTTCATTTTCTGTTTTGGAATCATAAAATTATATATTGAGTTAAGGGTGTGTTCTTCTGCCATTTGTAAACTGATAGGCAAATGTTTTATTTTTCTGTGAATTGTGCTGCTTTCCCTGAACTGCTGTGAAAACCTTTGGAAAACTTTTAAACCTTTTTCTGAAAATTTAGCACATTTGAAAGGTTATCCACTCATTAGAGACCGGTGACATCACTGAGAATGCAGCCTATCCACTCAATAGAGACTGGTGACATCACTGAACATACAGACTATCTACTCACTAGTGATTGGTGACATCGCTGCGAATGCGGCCTATCCACTCACTAGTGACTGGTGAAATCACTGCGAATGCAGCCTATCCACTCACTAGTGACTGGTGAAATCACTGAGAATACAGCCTATCCACTCACTAGTGACTGGTGAAATCACTGAGAATACAGCCTATCTGCTCACTAGTAACCAGTGATATCACTGAGAATGCAGCCTATCCACTCACTAGTGAGCGGTGAAATCACTGAGAATGCAGTCTATCCACTGATTAAAGACCGGTGACATCACTGAGAATGCAGCCTATGTATTCAATGGAAAATGGTGATATTAATAAAAATGAAGCCTGTTCATTCACAAAAAAAAACAGTCACTTTACTGTAAATATGGGGCTATTCATTCACTAGAGACTTGTAATTATCAGTGAGTAAAACAGAGCACTTCCGTACAGCAGTAAGTCACTGCCATTTCATGCTGGGACTTGCAGTTCTGCCACTATTGGAGAGCTGAGTGTTGGTCAAGACTGACTCTTATTTTCCTGTATTTGATTTTAGACCGTAGATAAAGTATAGGTCACAAGTACTTACAGAATTGGGGGTGAGGCCCATGTTGGCTTCAATGTAAGTTTCAGTCTTTGGCTCCACAGCCAGTTCCGCCTCCAGGATCTTTTTCCACAGGCATATCTTCATTAGCGCTACTAGAACACTCCACATCATTCTCATTTCTGTCCTTTCCCCGCTGACGCTCCTCCTGCACCGCTGTGTGACAGAAGAGGACAGTAATTAGCATTGGTCACTATGATACACCAAGTTGAAACCATTCAGGTCAAAGAAAAAGGCATACACAACATAGGAAACAAACTGTTCCAGTTCCAGTCAACCTCCTAGATATTATTCAGCCATAAAAATAATATATATATATTATCTATAAATTAAATGGTGTGTTGTGTATGGATTATAAGAAAGTATAAATAAAAAAAATTACCAGCTCATGAAAATTGTGAAGCAGTTCATGGAGTGTGATTAGGCCTGTTCACACCAGAATGTGGTGCAAAAAAGGAACTTGAACACGCTGCCTTTGCAAAATGTATGCGGGTGCCAATTTTTTTGTAAGGGCACCCCAAACACACCTCTCAAATGTGCTGCATTTGTAGCCACCCAGCCGTCTGGTACCATAGTACCAGGTGGTTTGACGCAGGGAAGTCTGAAAAAGTAGTGCTTCAGCATGCATTCCAGTGTGAACTGGCCCTAAAGCAGATGAAGTGTGACCATAGCCCTCGCCATGTATGGATAGTATTAGAGCCAATTCTTTAACTGGATACAATTCTAATAAATCCCATATTTTTGTTTGCATTTCAAGCTGTACATAACACATTTACATACAGCAGATCAAAGGGGTTGCACACATCAATCGGATTTCGGCCATTGTTTTTTTATATGTAATTTATCTATACATGTGATACAGGCTATGAGAGCTGAATAAACTGCTGGCTGTCTGTCTGTAACATGCATTTTTTAACTTTACAGCTCCCATTTTTAGTAAATCAAAACAACCCATCAGAAATATGAAGGCATAAACGGGGCCTCTCAGTAACCTTACATGTCTGCATGAATACATTCCTGATGTGTTACAATATACAGAAACAGTATAATTTAAAAAAATTTACCTTTTATTGTTAAAAAGTAGTGACTTTGCCTTCGCATCAGTCTGCTGCAGGCATGAGGAAGAACTTCCTCAGTCTCCTCCACCCCATTGATTAGACCTTACATTTTGTAACGGTCTCCTCCACCCCAGTGATTGGACTTTACATTTTGTAACTTTGTAGCAAGTCAGAAAAAGAATGTGTAGCTGATCTGTGTCAAGATATTTTTAAACATGAACTACCCAGGTATTAGGATTTACATTAATGAACCATCTCTGAGCCAGTATCTTAGTCCAGGTAAGTAGATGCCTGAACAAAGATAGCTCAGTTGATGAAATGATGACGACGAAGGCACTGCCAGAGGGTGTACTGTGATCTCTGTGAGGGGTAATAAACAACTGGAAGTGTTACAGTTACATATTTGTTATATGCATACTGCACATGAAAAATACATTTGATGTTGGCCACTTTAGGGCTCATTCACACAGGTGTCTAAAACACATTTAGTTGTGTTTCAGTATATAGTTTTGTATGCATCCAAATGCTGCACAATAAGAATCAATGGGGGCATACACACAGCTGCATCTACAAACAAAAATGTGTGCCATGTTTAGCAGCATACAAAAAAGTAGGACATAGCTCTGTCAGGGACCATACAAATCTGCAGATTTTATTGTGTAAATGCATATACATATTCATGCTTAAAGTCATTAGAAGTATTGTACTCTTCTAAATGTGACTACTTTATGCAGGATCTTCTCCAAACTCTGCCATCAAGAACCTGAGTTCCTTGCAGAATATATGCATATGCCTGTGTGAATGAGCCCTTACAAGCCACTCCATCCAAACTGACTCCTGGAAGCCTTCTGTAGTTGCTGGCAAGCTACTGGTAAATCGTATGCTGGATTAAAAAAAAATTTCTCAAGGGGATCCCTAAAAAAGTAAAACAAAAAAGTTTTTGATCACTAAATACACAAGGAAGTGAGGTATTTTATATAAAAGAGTTTTTAAAACATTTACAGATAAAACTCTATATATGTCAGGAAGGTGATCTGCACCAAAGAAATCTATATCTAAAGCCACAGACTACAAATAATAGATGCTGGGAGTTGTAGTACTGTCCAGTCCCCATCCTGCCCCTGGCTGGGCTTAGCGAGCCTCTGATATGCACCTCATTGTGGGGGAAGTCAGCGTGTCAAATCACATCTCACACTGTCCTCTCCACCATATGCTGAGAAAGTTATTGATGGTGAATCGCACGCGAGCCAAAGGCTGTTTGCTTCTTGCAGACATAGAAACCTTGGGAAAAATACTGTTCTTGGCTGCCTTGCATGAGACAATCATCAAACGCAGTCCTTCCAGATCAGTAAGAATATTGCCCCTTTATCCCGTTTGATTTTCAGGAACGGCTGGATCACTGCACTGGGTTTTACGGTTTCCATTGTTGTGACATGGGGTGTCGGGGTTCACAGCCTTTTCAGATCGAAAAACATTCTTATTCCAAACACTCCATCCTGCACGCTGCTACTGTGCTATTGACCCTCAACCTGCCTGGGACAAAGAAGGAGCTCTCACTGGGCCTCACTGTACAAATCTGGATGAAATAACCCACTAGGAGGGTGTTTGTTTTCATTGAAAGTCTATTGACTGAGCTCTATCCATACACTTGAATGGTGAGAGAAAAATTAAACAGTATCTGTGGTCAAAATGTAAAATCATTTATTCATTTCCAGATTGAAACTCAATTATTTCTAGTCTACTCCTAATAATCTGAATGATCTTCAGTTTGTAAACTTACTTTGTGAAGATCCCCAGCATATACAGTTGTGTTCAAAATAATAGCAGTCAGACATCACTAACCTGATCAATCACTGTTTTTGGTAGAAATGTTATTTCTACAATGCAAATAATTTACTAGCAGGTGTAGTAGAGTAATAGAAATCCAACAGACCCAACAGTCATGACATGCATGCTGCTGATTCTGTGTAATTGAATCACTAATTGAAAGGGACATGTTCAAAATAATAGCAGTGTGGAGTTCTATTAGTGAGGTCATTCGTTCTTTGAAAGCCAGGTGGCAATTATTGCCCTTATTTAAGGAAGGAAGGCAGCAAATGTTGTACATGTTGGTTATAGTGCATTTCTCTCTGAAATTCTGAGGAAAATGGGTCATTCCAGACATTGTTCAGAAGAACAGCGTACCTTGATTAAAAAGTTGATTGGAGAGGGGAAAACATATAAAGAAGTGCAGAAAATTATAGGCTGCTTAGCTAAAATGATCGCAAATGCTTTAAAATGGCAACCAAAACCTGAAAGACGTGGAAGAAAGGAAAAAAAACTACCATTCGAATGGATAGAAGAATAGCCAAAATGGCAAGGACTCAGCCAACAATCAGCTCCAGGAAGATCAAAGAAGGTGTAAAGTTCCCTGTGAGTACTGTTACAATTAGAAGACGCCTATGTGAAGCCAAGCTATCTGCAAGAAGCCCCCGCAAAGTCCCACTGTTGGAAAAAAGACATGTGCTGAAGAGGTTACAATTTGCCAAAGAGCACATTGACTGGCCTAAAGAGAAATGGCGCAACATTTTGTGGACTGATGAAAGTAAGATGGTTCTTTTTGGGTCTAGTGGGCCGGAGACAGTTTGTCAGACGACCCCAAACACTGAATTCAAGCCACAGTACACTGTGAAGACAGTGAAGCATGGTTGCGCAAGCATCATGATATGGGGATGTTTCTCATACTACGGTGTTGGGCCTATTTATCGCATACCAGGGATCATGGATCAGTTTGAATACATCAGAATACTTGAAGAGGTCATGCTGCCTTATCCTGAAGAGGAAATGCCCTTGAAATGGGTGTTCCAACAAGACAATGACCCCAAACACACCAGTAAACGTGCAACATCTTGGTTCCAGACAAACAAGATTGACGCTATGGAGTGGCCAGCCCAATCCCCGGATCTTAATCCAATAGAAAACCTGTGGGGTGACATCACAAATGCAGTTTCTGAGGCAAAACCAAGAAATAGAGAAGAACTGTGGAATGTAGTCCAATCATCCTGGGCTGGAATACCTGATCACAGGTGCCAGAAGTTGGTTGACTCCATGCAACACAGATGTACAGCAGTTCTCAGAAACAGTGCTTATACAACTAAATATTATTAAGTGATTCAAAGGAAAGCAAAATCTTCAAACATTTTTCAGTTTATATAGTGAATGTTTGAGTTTGTAAAGAAGAATACAAACGCTGCTATTTTTTTGAACAGACTAGTATTCACTTTTCTTCAGTTTTTTTAGAGGAACAACACATATTTGATCTATTTTTCTTCATGTTTTGATTTGGAATAGAATATGTAGTGTTCCCAATGCATTTGTGCGTATGGAAATAAAAGCTATTAGTAGGATTTTGAGCTTTATTCACTTTTTTCAACACACTATTATTTTGAACACAACTGTACACTCCTTGAATTCTGTGACACATGTTCACTATGCCCTGTGAGTAGGCACTGTTGTGTCACACATTTCACAGAGCCTGCCTTCTTAACTACAGAGAGGAGGAGTTTCAGGAGGCGGGGTCAGTACAGGAATCACTGCTTGCAAGCAGGAAGGTACCATGGGACACGTAGTCCTTAGTAATTAAAAGTACACAGTAGAGTAGAAGCAGCAAAGCATGCAGGGAATCCAGGAAGTTGTGGGAAGAGATAAGCAGCACTCACAACATGAAAGGTGATTTTTCAAGTATGCTTATATTGGACTGTCAAATATAACTATTGTTTGCATTGTATTGACAATGCCGACGTTGTAAAATGTAAATGAAGTTTGTCCTGCACTACTAAACAAGCTGCACAACATGTGTATAATGTAATTAAATGTTGCTTCCTCCGTGTTCATATATGATTGTGAGGTAAAAATAGCATAAAATATAAACATAGCTACCTGCTAACGACTTTAAATGGAATTTTCTGTAAAAAAAAAGAATTTGGTGCAGTGGTACACTGGGGGCCTTCTGTTGTTTTGCTGAGTACCATTGTGGGGGAAGGGGGTGATTTCATTCCTTTCCTGTACTAGAAAAACAATAGT